CACTAGGCGTAAGCCTAACCCTCTCTCTTTCGTGTTATATTTACTTTTAGGTTCCTTTAGCGGTGGGACTCTAAAGGGATGAGAGGAGCGTTGGTTCGTGAAAGGCTCTTTTGCAGATTAAGCCTTTATTACTTTAGAGCGTCGCGTTTGTTTTAGTGATACGATACTTTTGGAGATATAAAGAAATACCGTCTTTAATCTAAATATAGAGTAATCTAGATTAGTAGGTTGATAATTATCGTCTCGGTAGCTGTTTGTAAACGCTTTTCTATTACCCCTTCTGTTGGGTGAATTTTTTTTATAAAATTCCGATTTTTCGTTTCATATTTCAGTCCTTTTTGCCTCATATTTTTAGGGGTGCTACAATATATGATGTGGAACTCGTTATCGCGCGCCATAACATTATGCATTGCAAGTGATACGGCGTTATAAAGCGTGAGAGGAAATTTGCGATTTTTAAAACTTAAATAAGTGTAAATATAAATATAACCTTATAGTTTATACGAGTCAAATACCTAATCAACAAATAGGGAAAAAGAAAAAAACCTTAAATTACTTTACGAAAAATATTGTTCAATTACTTTGATTTATCATTCTTTTATTTTATTACTTTGATTTTGCTGTTTGATTGCCAAATGGGAACTATAAACAGTGACTTACTTTGTATAATTGAAACCATCTTTTGTGAACTCTGTATATTTGATATCAAATTATCAAATATATGGACGGACTTATTTATGTCCGAACGGGATCTCGTGCTTCTGTTCAATTGATTTTTGTAAGTAAAAACTTTTTAGAGTATAAAAGATGCATCTGTTAAACTTTGAATGGTGTTTTAGGATATTATAAAAAAACTTAAAAAATCATTCGAAAATGTAGAATTCAGCTATAAAGACATCGGACGACTTTACAGATTTTTGATCCACTTTAAAAATGTAACTGCTCAAAAAAAATACTGGACTTGCCACTCATTCAAGGAAAAAAGGCACATTTTTTCATACGTTAGACTTCGTAATATTGAATTTAGATCGTATAAAACATGTTTCATGACACCTAAAATTGAATTGTATATATAGTTCATTATGGATAAAAACAAAATAGTTAAAACTTCAGAGAAAACCAACCAGCTATTCCATTTTGAAGATTAAGGGGCCGTTTATCAAACGTTTGCCCAGGTATATCAAGCCATATTACCTTACCTGATGAATATGGTAAGAATCAATAACTTATTCGATAAGAACGAGACAAGGACCATGAATCTTACCCGGTAAGTGAGGGCGACGACTCTTACCAAGGTAAACGCTTACTGGGTAAATTATTGCATACGATGTCGTTTGGATTGACTAAAACTTTACCCGGTAAGTAATGATAGTGTTAAATTTTACCGGTAAGCACTATCGGACGAGTGTTTGTTAAACGGCCCCTAAGTCTCGATTTGTCTTTAATGAAAAAGCATTGAAATTTCTCATTTTGAATGATTAATAAGTTCCTAAACCTTTTTTTTAAATAAATAAACCTTCAAAATTTTAAAAATTGGTTACTTATATCTTTTAAGTTTAAAAAACTACATGAAAGCAGTTAGAAAGATTTTAATGTAAAACACATAAATCACTTTTACCGCTTACGTCATTCAAACCCCTCGCTGTCTCATTGTCTTTTGCTCACTATCATCGTCATCACTATTGTTGGCTAGGGATGGGAATGGACCCCGACCCGTCGGGTAACCCGGTCCACCCGCCCCGGTCGGGGACGAGGATTCCCCGAAAAATCGGGTCCCAGGGACGGGGACGGGGATCCCCGCTTTTCTCAAGCCGGGGATGGGGCCGGGGACGGGTACAACACTCCCCGCCCCGCCCCGCCCCGTCCCGTCCCGTCCCGTTTTATATATATGTATTGTGGGCTTTGGGCTTTGGCCTGTTAATTGTATTAGTCAATAGTCATTAGAGAATGCATCCATCTCCAGCCCAGCCCCAACGTCTTCTCTTCATCGTCTCCTTCCAAGAAGTTCCAGCCCAGCCCTAGCGTCTTCTCTTCATCGTCTCCCARAATCCCTATTAACGTCTGATGATACGACGACTCCCTCCTCACCCTTAATAAGATACGACTCCATCTCCCTACCCTAATCGGCGACGGCGACAGCTACGGCGACGGCGACGGTCTCAGGCTCTCCCTCTCCGGCTCTCCAGGCCTGTCCCTTGGCCTGTTAAATCTGCTATTTTGGGGCCCAAATTTCACACTCGACGCTTCGATCTTCTTGGCATTTTGGTTCTTCGCCCCTTCCTCCAGACCTTCTCCATGAACCTGAATCCAAATTCATCACTTAGCCCTTTGTTAACAAGAAAGATTATCAATCAACATCACCTTGTTCACTTTTGTTGTTCGGTGGACGGGCCTGCACTTCAGACATCAATGACGATATTTCTTCTTCTAGACTCGAAGGTAAAGCACCCGTGATTGATTAGAGTATGAAGCAATCGTAGTTATTTTACCAAGCGAAGCAGGTACACATTTCAGTTCGATTTTTAGATTTTCTATTTGATGCATGATGAGTGCATGAACTAATCTTTAAAATTTGAAACCTGTTGTACCTGCTGAATGGTTTTCTAGGTTTTGATGAATATCTGATTCGTAATACAGTAGTAAGTCATTAGTATATGGTTAACGAAAATGTATGGTTGTAACGCATTGTAAGTGTTTGATAAAATGTCTAACA